ACCACCACCACCACCACCACCACACAGTACCTACCACCACCACCACACAATACCTATCACCACCACCACCACCACCACCACCACACAGTACCTACCACCACCACCACCACCACCACACGTACCTACCACCACCACCACCACCACCACCACCACCACCACACAGTACCCACCACCACCACCACCACCACCACCACCACCACCACCACCACCACCACCACACAGTACCTACCACCACCACCACCCACCACCACCACCACCACCACCACCACCACCACCACACAGTACCTACCACCACCACCACCACCACCACCACACAGTACCTACCACCACCACCACCACCACCACCACCACCACACAGTACCTACAACCACACAGTACCTACCACCACCACCACCACCACCACCACCACCACCACACACCACACAATGCCTACCACCACCACCACCACCACCACCACCACACAGTACCTACCACCACCACCACCACCACCACCACACAGTACCTACAACCATCACCAGACAGTACCCCACCCCACCCCAACCACCACCACACATTATCTACAACCATCACACCACACAGTACCCACCACCACCACCAACCACCACCACACACTACCTACCAATACCACCACTCCAGTACCCACCACTGCCACCAGTACAGACTACCTACCACCACTACCACACAGTACCTACCACCACCACACAGTCTACCACCACCACCATCATCACCACACAGTAGTCATCACATCAACTACACTAATCACCACCACAACTACAATCATAAAACCACCTATAAAACCACCAAAACAACCACAACCATAACTACAATCATAAAAACCACCTATAAAACCCCAAAACAACCACAACCATAACGACTACAACCACCATCAATACCAACCATTACAAATACCACGACAACAACTACCACAACCACCACTACAAGAACTACCACAACCACCACACAGTAACCAGGAGAAGCAAGGTTGGTCAGTCACCGCCTCGGGATATTGAGGGCATCTTTCATTACAACTGATCGTGACGCGGGTAGCAATGTTCGGGAAGGCGGGGGGCAGTGGTGGAGGGTAGGAGGGAATAGTGGAGGGTAGGTAGGAGAGAGTGGTGCAGGGCAGGATAGGTTGATGGGAGGTAGGGGGGAGTGGTGGAGGATAGAATGGTGTGGTGAAGGGTAGAGGAGAGTGGTGGAGGGAGGGATGAAGTGGTGGAGCGTAATAAAGAGTTGTGGAGAGTAGGAAGAGGTAGTGGAGGATAGGAGGGGGTGGTGGAGGACGGGTGGAGGTGGTGAGTAGAGAAGTGTTGGAGGGCGGGAGGAGTGGTGAGAGAACTATAATGTATGTTGGTGTTTGGGAAGGAGTAATGGAGTAGGGAAAAGAGTTATGGAGGGCTAGACTGACTGAATGAGAGAAGGAGGGTGAGATGGAGGGAGGGCGAGGTGGAGGGAGGGGTGAGGTGAGAGGAGGGAGGGAGGGAAGGTAGAAGGAAGGGAGAGATGGAAGGAGGGCGAGGTGGATGAAGGGCAGTGGAGGGAGGGTGGTGGAGGGAGGGAGGCAGGTGAAGGAGGTCGAGGTGGAGGGAGGGCAGTGGAGGGAGGGGCGAGGTGGAGGGAGAGTGAGGTGAAGGAAGGAGAGATGGAAGGAGGGCGAGGGGAGGAGGCGAGGTGGAGGAGGGAGGGAGGGAGGTCGAGGTGGAGGGAGGGCGAGGTGGAGGGAGGGAGCAGTGGAGGAGGGTGAGTGAAGGAAAGGGAGAGATGGAAGGAGGGGTGAGGGTGGAGGAGAGTGAGGTGGAGGGAGGAGAGTGAAGGAAGGAGAGATGGAAGGAGGAAAACGGTGACAGAGAGAGAGAGAGAGAGAGAGAGAGAGAGAGAGAGAGAGAGAGACACTACCTACCGGGCTATGGGGCGGTAGGAAATGAAAAAAAAGCACATCGGTAAAGCATGGGAGAAAAGATAAAGAAATGAAGGAGAGGGAGAGCGAAGTGATAGATTGGCAACGTGCGATAATGAATAATTGAATAAGAGGGAGAAGATGAGCAACAGAAAAGGCTTAATGGAAGGAAGATGGAAACACTAAGTACTGAGAGAGAGAGAGAGAGAGAGAGAGAGAGAGAGAGTGCATGAGAAAGTAAAATGAAAATCATACTTAAGGAAAACGGTAAAAGGTAATTAAGTATCGACAATGGTGGAAAAGATAAGAGACACTGAAGAGAAGAGAAGAGATAAGAGAGATAGGCAGGAGGTGAGAGAAACTGGGGTGCATATATTGTGTAGCGAATACGATAACAAGAAGAGAAGGAGAAAGGTCCGATAATTGAAGAAATGGAAGGAAGATCCGATAGCAGTTGGAGCAGTAGGAGGAAAGGATCCGATAACAGTAAGGGAAATGTTTGATAAAGGAAGACGCGGGAGAGGATTTGATAACAGGAGAAGATCCGATAAAAAGACAAACTTTTTTTGAAGATGGGAGAAGAGAGAGAAAACGGAAGAGGAAGTGATAGAATAAACGAGAGAAGTAATGACTAAACCAAGTAAACGAGAGATAAATTAAGGGAGTAAAGGTAGAAAGGACAAATGTGCTAAACGAAGGAAGGGTTAATGCAGTAAAGGAGGCAAGAGTGAAATAAACGGGATAAGGCATAATAAATAAACAAGAGAAGAATTAATGAATTAAAAATGTAATGATGATCAAAGTGGTAAACGAAGAGAATTTAAAGGTAGGATTAACGAGGAAAGATTAATGAAGACAGAGTAATCGTCAGAAGTGTTGGGTTAGGGACGACGACTCTCCTCAATTGTTAGTTAGATTATTTCAATTCTTCACAGAGACTCGGCTGCTGTCGGAGAAGCCTTGGGTATAGCTGGCAAGAACATACACACACACACACACACACACACACACACACACACACACACACACACACACACATAAATAAATAAATAAAATAACATAGCAAAGATATATCAAAGGCATAGCGTTGGAAAGAAGGAAAAATGTGAGGCTAATATCTCAGAGACAACATCCAAGAAAGTGGAGGAAAATTTATTCAGGGTTGACACAGCGGAGGAATAAATCTCTCATAAATAGAAACAAATTTCTTGAAAAACTCCGGCAAGAAAATGCATCGTGAAAACTTGAAGCATAAAAGTTGGAGAAACAATAATTTGTGAGATTTTAGTGATCCGACGTGTAGAGGAGGCATTAGCGGTGGTGGTGAAGTGGGAGAAGTGAAGTGGTGGTGATGAAGTGGGGGTGGTGAAGTGAAGTGGTGAAGTGGGGGTGGTGAAGTGGGGTGGTGAGGAAGTGAAGTGATGAAGTGGAGGTGGTGAAGCGGAGTGGTGAAGTGGGGAGTGGTGGTGAAGTGGGGGTGATGAAGTGGAGTGGTGAAATGGGTGTGGTGAAGTGGGAGAAGTGAAGAGGGAGAAGTAAAGTGGGGTGATGAAGTGAGAGAAATAAAGTGAGAGAAGTAAAGTGGGAAGTGAAGTGGGGTAGGTGGCTGGTGGTGATATGGAGATGGTGGCGAAGTAGAGGCAGGTGAAGAGGGAACTAGATGAAGTGGGGGTGAAGAAAGAGAGGTGAAGCTTGTCAGGAGAAGTGGTGAAATGAGGGTAGTCGTAAAGTGAGGGTAATGGTGATGAAATAGTAGTGAAGAAGGTGGTGGTAGTGAAGTGGTGAAGAGCGGATTGTGATGAAGAAAGTGGGGGTTATGTTAAAGTGGTGAAGGAAGGGATGGTGGTAGTAGTAGTGGTTGAGTGCTGATTAATAGTGGTAATAGAATGGCATAGTAGGTGGGAGAATTGATAAATGTGAAGAATAAAGAAAACGTAAATGATAAACGATGACTTTAAGAGAAGTGGCGGCGGAGGGAAGAAGGGAGAAGGAGAAAGTGATACTGAAGGAGGAGGAGGAGGAGAAGGAAGGGTAATAGTAAAGGAGGAATAAATAATAGAAATGATGAAACAAGGCATTAAGATGGAAGAGGAAAAACTGTAAGCAAGAAAAAGGTGAAAAGAGAAAAGACAAAAGTGATGAGAAGAAGTTAAAGAACTAAAAAGACAGGAATGGAAGAGAGAGAAAATGACCCGGAAGGAATGAAAGCCTATGAAGAGAGAGAGAGAGAGAGAGAGAGAGAGAGAGAGAGAGAGAGAGAGGAGAAAGAGTGGAAAAAACAATATCAAGATTAATAAACAAACTAAACAATAAGGCAAACAAGTCAATCAACAACCAAAAAGTGATCTCAAGCATTGTTTGAAATGTCTCAAAATAAGGAAACAAAACCAATTTCAGAAATATAATCCTAAAATCCTATATCTCTCTAATAAGCAAAAAACAACTATTCATAGATGGTGAATGAGCGAGAATAAGACAGAGGCAATAAATAGTAATTAAAAAGCTTTGATAACAATGTGAGATGGAGTAAGCAACTTTACAGGCGGGAATATTTTTAGTATGATGTCTCGATATTACCAACAAGTGGGGAAGATTAGTCGACCATGAATGGAGCCACTAGACACACCGGTATTAATCACGGAACGAAGGGATAATGACTCGAGAATACACTGCTGGAATGGACTAGGAATTGGATTGGTGGGAATGGATGGGGTATCGACTACTGGGAACACATAGCCTGAACCACCCGTGGCAGTGCAGGAGTGAATGGACTTCCTGGAACTCTGCAATACGTATGGCGGGAATAGCAACAGCGACAGCACTCACGTCAGTACTGGAAATATATGGGTAGGAAGGCGGGAAAAATCCATGTGAGCAAACGTCGGGCGGAAAGGAACCCATGTACAATATTATTAGGTACAATTACCCAATTGTGAGCTGCAGAGTGTTTGAAGAAGAGGGGACGTGGAAATAGTTCAACAGTGTTAAATGTAATTTGATTTAAAGAAAGCGATAGTGAACGAGGTCGGTAAAATTCACAACACTCAAATATAAAGTGTTTATAAGTACATTCGAACATTTAGAGGTGTATATGACGTACCTGGAAAGGTAGATGCCTTTCAGCTTGTCTGGTGAGGCACTGGATGTCTGGGGCAGCAAGAGAGGTGTTGGAGGCGCTGAGTAGTGCTGCAAGCCACCGTATGGAACAGTTGCATACTAGCATATTATCACGGAGGTCGAGACGGACCAAAGATCCCCAGGGCATACTGGCCTCCGGCACACTCTGTAGGCTGTTGGCACGGAGGTCGAGGGTGTGGATTAGAGGGAGGGAAGTCAGGAGTTTCTCCGGAAGGTGTCGTATCAATGGGTTATGAGAAATAGTCAGACGCTGGAGGTTGACACATTGGCTCAAGGCATCCGGATGAATCGAGGCTAAGCGCGGACACCGCGATATTTCAAGAGCAACCAAGCGGCTTAGGCTACGAAACGCACCTGCCTCTATAGATGTGAAATTGTTTTTGTTGAGGATTAGTGAATCAAGCATGTGCAGGGAGGACAGTGTGGTCACTGGAACCTCACGTAGCAGGTTATCATTGAGGTTGAGATTCTGTAGTCTCTGGAGGTGATGAAAGGCGGCGTCTGCGATGAAGTCGATGTTGTTTGTTTCTAATGAAAGGGAAGTAAGCGTGTCTGTTGTGAAGGTGTCAGACTCGAGGCGCGTAAGGCGGTTACGGCACAGGTGAAGAGCTTTGAGTCTCTTCAGGTTCTCCAGCGCCGAGGACGGCACATGCCGGAAGTAGTTGTCACACAGGTCGAGAACATGAAGATTGCGAAGTCCGCGGAAGGTGTTCTCTGCTAATAGATGCAACTTGTTGTGGGCCAGCAGTAGCGCCGTCAGGAGTGGCACGTCAGCAAGGACCCCAGCAGGCAGATCTGACATTCCATTATGACTCAGGTCTAATAAACGGAGGGACATAAGGCCCCTGAAGGCCCCTGGAGACAAGGCGGTGAGGTTGTTGTGGGCAAGACGCAGTTCCAGAAGCTGTACTTGCTCTTCAAGGTTACCTGTACCCAGAGAGGGTAACACATTATGGGACAGGTCAAGCTCTTGTAGCTGGTCGAAGAACACGAGAGCTTGAGCTATCGAGTCGATTAAGTTGTGGGCCAAATTGAGGCGACGCAGGTTCGGGTTGAAGAGTATAGGCACCACATTGATGCCCACACCCACACAGCGAGCACTGGGCACGCTGTCATCACAATTGCAACCAGGTGGACAGAACGCTCGCGTCACGCCCACCAGGCACGCCCACACCAGCCACCATGCTAACATATCTGCAGGAAGAAAAGTAAATCAGATTAAAACCTTTTCAGTTAAAGACACAGACATAAAATACAAACATTGTCCAGCCCAGGTTTCAAGACTAACTTTTTGTTTTCTTTGTGGTATGAGGATTTACTCCCTCGCCCCCACACGGTTAATAATAAAAATATAGAAATGGCAATATTAAATGAAAATGTTACATAACAATGTGACAGAAAATAACACTGACGTCATCTGCGTGGTGAGGCAACAAACCAAATAAAGAAGTTTCTCCCAGCGAATATTGGAGTAAAATATACAGTACATGTTTGTATAGCTTTAATATCGCTTGAATTTCATATTATATGTTCATTATTCATGGGTTCATTTATTCATGCTATAGATGGCAAACATTTGTTTGTTTTTCATTAAACATTCAATTCGTTACTAGCAAATCGACCGTGAAAAGTATTAGATACACGATTTATGAATACTTCTGTACATGCATTTCAGTTTAGATGTAAATTGATGCCCATTTAGACATACTACTAGAGCTTTAAAGGGTAAGTATGGAGGGAGGGGTAATTTTTATACCATTACATGTGGCGAGGTTTGTTCCAAGGACTGCAGTGACCCGCGGTAGTTTATATTAGATGGGGGAGCGTGACCCGGGCAGCTCATGTTATTTAACACTAGTGAAATCTGGGTGAGGGAGGTAATTGGAAAATGGGGAGGAAGGATGGGGAATGGATGGGGGAATGGGGGATGATGGAGAGAGACAAATGATAGGAAGATAGGTCGCGTATAACAACACCATCACACATTGTTCTACCTGATCCACAATACTCAATAAAGTCTGGCGTTTGGCTTTGATCATATGGCTTCTGTGAGACGGTCACTCCTGAGAAATGGATACGGAATTGGAGAGTGAATCTAGAACTTGAAACAAAACGTGAGGTTAAGAGGAATATCTAATTAAGTAAAGGTGTGTGTAGCTGTCTGAAAACACAGACGGGATTCAGTTTACTGCACAACTGAATCATCTAGTGAGAATGACTCCCTTAGTGAACAGTGCTCCTTCCCTCAACAAAATATGAAACTTTACGGAATAATTAACTAAGAATCTCTGCTATAGAATTATGAGAAAATATATTGAAACAAATAATATTCCCTCAACACGCTGATAAAACTGTTATACTAAACATTGACTTACAAACAAGTAATCCACTAATGAAAATATTATTCCTAAACTTTCACTTACAAAGAACTAATCCTTAACGTAAAAGCACTAATCCCTAACTGATCAACTAATCCATAATTGCAGAACCGTCCCTAATCCCAACAATTAATGAACTTAATAAACAGCATCTCACAGAACTAATCCCTTGGTGAAGAACACGCCCTCTGCTGAGCTTCAACCAACGCTGTCGTAATCTCTATAAAAAGGGAGAGAAAGAAAGGAGGGAAGAAGGAAGCTGATAAACCAATGAAAAGGGTAAAAAGGGGGGTAATTAATGAGAAATAGACGGAAGGGAGAGTAACTTTTAGGGGTAAGGGAGAGGAGAGGGATGGTAAAGGAAGGGGTAGCGTAGAAGAGAGGATTAGAGAGTGGCAAAAGGAAGAATAAAGAAAGAAGGATACAGAGAAAAAAGGATGAAGAGGACTAAGAAGTAGAAGAAGATATAAAAGGAGGAAAAGGAAGACGAGGAGTAGACGAAGAAGGAAGACAAGAAGGGAAGAAACTAAGACGAAGAACGGAGGAGCCACGCGCATCAAGCCAATAGCACCAGCACCACCACCACCACCCCCACCACCGTCGTCGTAGTGCCGTTGATACACAATATTCCCAAGTTTGGTCTTCGGCCTCAGTAATTTGGCTTCTCGATAAACTCAACTTCAAACTCTAAAGCTGATCAGCGCCCATAGTGAGATTGTGCAAGTTTCCGGGGCAATTTAGTGCACGACTTGGCTCAAGTTTCGTCGAGGCAGAATTGACAATGTTCTACGGTCGTAAGCAACACCAGCAGGAGGAACAAGAAGACGGGGGTTAGAGGAACAGAGGCTGACACAAGATGTTCCCGCAGCTGAGGTAAACGACGACAGGAGTGGAGAAGTTGTTGATGGCTCGTACAGACGAGAGGGAGGAGAGGGGGCACGTCTTCTGCATCACAAGCTAGGTGTTGGTCATAAGCTAACAGTGTCGCAAATAAGGGATGGAAATGCTGGAGAACTGTAACTGGATATTCTGTACGGTAAAGCAGCGGTAAGCAGTGCAGCATCAAACGTAAGCAGAATCGAGTCTACCTAAAAAGACCTTAGTTGTTGAAGCACAGTAAATACATCATAGCATCAGAGACTAATATTGCTCTCTGAAGAAGGAATCTTAACTGAATATATATCTACACTTACGAGTCATAACAAGGACAGCAACTGATGTTCTTCTTTAACATCAAACAACGGCGCGACATCAACAAATAATATCATATAAGTATAAATAACAGGACAAAGGGCCAACGGTGCTCTGTCGTTGCATAAAAAAAAGAGTTAAAGAGAAATACATTATGTATTATAATGGTAAATAAGAAGGAAAGAAGAGCAGACAGTTATTCTCGTGAAGTTAATACGTCATCACCTCCTGTTTACAAAAGGTGAGGCAAAGCATCAGCTGAGACCGGGATGAATAGAAAGAGAGATACAAATACAGTGTAAGTAGAAGATAAAAAAAATGTAGAGAGAAAAGGAAAATGAGAAAGACATAGATAAGTGAAAATAAAGATATGAAAGAGAATGGAATAAATAAAGTGATGACGAACCCGGAAGAGCAGTAGATAATAAAGAAGGTCCACCTGGAGTGTCTTGTTTACCAGTCCGTGTGCAGTACGAGTGAGGAAGACGAAGAGAAAACATAAATAAAGAGAAGCAAAGAAGAAAAAATTAGAGAGGCAAGACAGGGAAGTAAAATAAGGAATAAGATCAATAGCGGCAGACGAGGATCAAAAGGAATCACAAGGAACACCCTGTTTCCTTAAGCCTCCCCCCCGCCCCAAACCCCTCCATCTCATCCTCTCTACCTCCTCTTCCTATCTATCCGTCCCTCCACCCATCTATCCAACCCTTCTTCCCTCCCTCCCTCACGCCTTGGGCACCATACCGGAACCTTCCCTTGCCGCCTTATTCTGGGCTCATAAACAACTGCCTTCTGGAGCTGAATACCCTGCCGTCTCCCTCACAGGTCCTGGGTGTATCACAAAGTGTCTTTGATACACCCCCGCCAGCGCTCTTCATCACCCCACTTATTCCTATAGAAGCTTCCGTCGACACTTAAGGTAATGACACTCCTTGACGTGACGATAAAAGCTTTGTTAAAATACGACATAAAAGCGAAAACCTGTTATAACAATCTAATTTTTACTAATAAACAAAAAGCTTCTCATAATTACACTATCGAAGTATTTCTCTTTAAGCGTTGAAATCCTTCGAAATAAAAAAAGAAACCCTGGAATATAAATGTAACCCTTTCTACCACAGCATTGAACCCATGATATACCAAGGAAAATTATATTACGAATACGTATTTTGATCAAGCACTGAGGGCATTTAGTATGGCTCTAAAACCTTTAAATACAGGACTGAGACCTATATCATAGAACATAGACTTAATAATGATGGAAACCCTCAGCGTCTAGTAATAATCGTGGAGGCTGTTGATGTAGTCCTGACACAACCCTTTCACGTGTTATGTTCGAATAGCTACTAAGAGCGTGTTGATCAGTACTGAGGACTGTTAGTGTAATTTGCGTTATCTTAAATAGTGGAGTATTAGTGAGAGAATAATACTGTCAGTAATGAATTGAGATACTCTGATGTAACATACTAACTCTTATATAACACTAGACACAGGTATTTTTAACCCATTGAGTAGTAAAAGTTTTTTTTTGGTTGAATAAAATCGTCTGGTGTTATCCGGAATAAAATATATCAGTGCGACACTACTATTTAAAGGGTTAATGAAATATATAAAGCTTATTTTTTTTTACATATCAGGACTGAGAGGAAGGTTTATTAAAGGAACAATGACGACCAGTGAACTTAACACCTATAGTTTAAAAAAAGAAAATAATGTTGATGTCCTGTTGATGCACTATATTATATTCACTTCTCTCGGATGTGAAACTAAAAGAAAACTTTTACAAGATAGCCGGGTTTGTTCTTATATTATTCAGAATCCTTCACTAAAAGCTCGAATAGGTTATAATATAAAAGAAAACCTTTTTTTTCTGCAAAACTTGAAAACACTCCAATAAACGCATCAATATATTCCCAACACACTACAATAATACATCTACAACGATGTAACTTTTAGCTAACATGTAGAGTCGCCGACAGCTTCCCGGAGTTGGATAAGACTTATAAGAGTATAGAGCTTCTCTCCCCTCCTGCCAATTTGACGTTGAAGGCTAATGAAACAGGATGATATTTTAATTGCAACTCATTAGAGGGGGCTGAGACCACGGGCTCTGCTTGGGAGGGATGAGAGAGAGAAAGAGAGAGGCTGCTCCTTCATTATTTGATGTTAAAGGAAAAACCTCCTGGATTTCATTTACGGTAATTTAGTTAAGGAAGGAGTTGTAATTATGCGATTAAGGCAAAGAAAATGGGCAAAATAAGCCACGAGAAGATAGACGTAAACAAACCATGAGAACGATTAAGACCTTCTGTTGGAATTAAAATAAACGTGGAGCTACATCTGGAACAGAAAATAATGCTGGAGATATTAATAATAATAATAATAATAATAATAATAATAATAATAATAATAATAATAATAAAAATAATAATAATAATAATAATAATAATAATGATAATAACAATAATAATAATAATAAAAAAAAATAATAATAATAATATTATTATTATTATTAATGAAAAAAAGTACAAACCAAGTAGGAATTTTCTGATCATAGCTACGGGAGACTGGGGATAAAATTCAATAACCAAAGAAGTTTCGTCAACACAAACTGAATCACAAGAATATAACTTTACAGACTGTGTTCACACCAGCGGCTGATACAATATCCACGCTGTGATTTTGCCTCACACTCTTTGTTTTAGATTAGGACAAACTCTCAAACTTGTCTCTGGGAGTTACCAAGTTATTATATATATATATATATATATATATATATATATATATATATATATATATATATATATATATATATATATATATATATATATATATATATCTTGATAAAATCACACGGGAAAAGGGAAACAACTCTTTTAAGCCTTTTTCCCACTTACTGCAGGTTGGGTCGAAACAATAACTAACACAGACACTGAAATTACCTTAATCTTCTCTCTTTCATTTTTACTTATTTAATAGACACATATTCTATCACGTTATCCCCCCCTCCAAAAAAAATCACAAAATATCCATCTCATAATCCACCGTCGTTTCACACAAGCCACCAGCACCCACCACCAGCACATCCTTCCCCCAAAATCACTCACGTACACTAATGCTTATAAATTCATTCTTTATTCCATCTTTATTATTTCCTTCTTGGTCTTCCCCTCCCCTACCTTATACCACCCAACTCTGTAGTACATTATATATTATTCTTACTATCATGTCACTTCTCATACCACCTGAGCAGACTCTGACCCGTTCTCTGCTCAACACAACTTCCTCTTCCATCTTTCTCTCTTCATGACGGTATTTTACATTCTTTTGTATCCTATATACTCCACATATCTCAGGCTGGTCTTTCATATCGCTTCTAATATGCTCCCTCCTCTTGCCTTCAGAGCTCATCCTTCACACCCGTAAAGTAATTCGCCTCAAGAGTTCCCCTAAACATCCCAGAGTTCCCCTAAACATCTCAGAGTTCCCCTAAACATCCCAGAGTTCCCCTAAACATCTCAGAGTTCCCCTAAACATCTCAGAGTTCCCCTGAATATCCCCGTCTGTGGTTCCTTTGATAGTGGTCTGTCTCTCTCTGTCTGTATGTCTGTCTCATTCTCCATGCATTTTTCTCACTGCATTTATTACTGTCTTCCCTTCCAGAGACTGTGGATCAATGCATCATCCGTTAATGTACTGTATACCAAGTGTGTGTTCTACCCTGAAAAAAATTGGTGCAGTAAAAGATATCAGGTTTACGTACACGCACTCCACTATATCCGCATTCACGTACAGTATACATACACACACACACACACACACACACATACGCGTTATATAACAGGGTCCTTCAGAGTTGGTGGGCAATAAGCGTCTGCAACGACTGATTTGGCCTGAACTGAATTTCACATTACCAACAATTCATCCTGTATACAGTATATTAGCGCATGATGTGTTTGTTATGGAGTCGAGAGGTGGTTAAACTAACACCGGAATGAGGACACGAATCCAAAATTGTCTAACTAAAATTGTGGGTCGGGTTGGGTTACGTTGAGCTAGGTTAGGTTAGGTTAGGTTAGGTTAGGTTAGGTTAGATTAGGTTAGATTAGGTTCGGAGTAGGTTAGGTTAGACTATGAGTAAAGTTAGGTAAGGTTAAGTTAGGTTAGATTAGGTTGACTTGTGTTATGTTCGGAGTAAGCTATGTTAGATTAGGAGTAAGGTTAGGTTAGTGGAGGTTACGTGATATTAAGCTAGAGTATTGCTTCCCCATTTCTGTATAGTCTCTCTGTCTGTCTGTCTCTGTATATCCTCTGGTTGTGCAGTTGTGCATGACGAAACGTATTTTCTTTCTTGTTTTTATTTCTCACATCCATAAAAATAAAGTATATATATATATATATATATATATATATATATATATATATATATATATATATATATATATATATATATATATATATATATATATATATATATATATATATATATATATACATATAAAACTAATATTTCTGGGCGGTGGTGAAAGATTTAATACTGGCTTATGAGTAGAAAGAGAGAGAGAGAGAGAGAGAGAGAGAGAGAGAGAGAGAGAGAGAGAGAGAGAGAGAGAGAGAGAGAGAGATTCAAGAATTAATAGTCTGAAGGGAAATATACAGTCAGACTTTCAAAATAAAAGTAAAATTTCATTCCTGTAAAAAAAAATCATTGAAATTTAACCTTACCCTAAAATAATCTTTGAAATGACTCATAAAAGTAACGTTGCATATATTGTTCTAGAATAGCCAATTTGAGGCCAGAATCGAATGGTACTCGCATCTATTTTTTATTAAGTGATTTATGGCTATTTTGATCAGATAAGATGTCTTAATAATGGCTACTATAATGAAAAATGCACTGCTTGTTTACAACTGGCTTCTTTTTTCAATATATCTTACGACTACTTTGGTGAGAAAGGATATCTTCTTTGTGACAACCATATCGAGATGTGAGTACGTCTATGTCATGGCTGTTTCGGTGTGGTGGGATGCCTTTTTCATTGCTACTTTTTGTGTGACGTAATGTGTTGCCCATGGCTATATTTTATTTTTACTCTGGCGTTATGTCTTTTTCATGGTTACGGTGGTGAGAAATGATGTCTTCTCATGTCCTCTCTATGACAACTTTATTGTTACCCCTATTTTTTCCTTAAGGCTATTGTAGTTAGACATAGATAGACATAGAGACGTCCTTCAGGGTGCGTTAAACCAGCATGATGTCGCTCTTATGGCTGCGTACATTGTTCATGGCTACTCTAAAATAATGTAATGTCTTATTTTAAATTTCTTTTTATGTTGCTAATATCTTGTTCATGTCTAGTTCAGTACATTGTCTAATACTGAAGTACATTACATTCTGTGTGTACTAAAATGCATTATAATAAATGACTACTACATATCATTTACTCTCTATACTTAAGTACAAAAGGTCTTTCAGCATTAAACTGAACAATATCTTCCCGATGGCTAATACAATGACAGAATGTACTCTTTATGGCTACCTAAAGGTACAGTATCTTCCCCAATGGCTAGTTGAAGAAAAAACATCGTCTTTCTTATGGCTGCTGATATACCTACGTTGGGAAGAGTATATCATGTCTTACTTTAGCACCATATAATGTTTCTTCCTTTTAAGATAAGAGATCAGACATATCAAGAGACCTGGGCTGAAAATTAGGTGAGGTTATGGGTCGGTTAAATTAAGTTAGGTTAGGTTAGGTTTAGTGAGATTAGGAAAAAATTGGGTTTGGTCAAACTGGGAGATTAATCATTCCATATTTCATTCCACTCATTCCCCAATTCACACCTCCCTAATTTCTGATTCAGACACACACGGAGGGGGGAGGTGAAACAATACGGCGGCTACAAAACAAAAACTGTATTCTGAGATGGTCGTAAGGTGACACTCAAAAATATTACGAGAGAAATAAAGAAAGGCGTCTCAGTGCCTCTCGGCCAACAAGGCTCGCCCTACCCTTCTTTTAAAGCTTAGAGGGAATATGGATTTTAAGCCCCCCAGTTAAGAGCTCTACTTAAGGTACAAATGTATCAAATCGGGGAAAAAATAGAATGGGGGTACATTTTCGTTGCTTTTGTGTTGGGGCCCAGTAGATGTGGGAGGGTTGGGCGGAGGGATGAGTGGAGGGAAGGAGGGAGAGATCGAGGGAGGGACGGATGGATGGAGGCAGGCAGGGACGAAGAGATGGAAGGAGGAGGAGGTGGAGGGAGGAGAGGAGGGAGGGAGGGAGGGAGGGAGGGAGGGAGGGAAGGAAGGAAGGAAGGGTATCAGCCATTAACTACATCAACAAAAGGGTTAATTAACGCATCCTTGTTTTAGCTCGGGAGGGCAAGGCAAGGGAGAGTGAGTGAGTAAAATGCCATAGTTGTACAGTTTTTTTAGCTTCTAGTAGAGGACGCTAAAATCCTTATAGCTTTGAATAACGGATACTAAAATACTATAGAGTATTACTGTTAGCTTTATAGGTTAGCTGTTGAGGAATATAATTCTATAGCTGTACAATTATAGCTGTAAATAAGGGATTCTGAAATTTTATCTTTAAATTATAACTTACGAGGTGAGTCATGGTGAATAAAGTGCTGTGATTACGTAACTCTAGCTTTGAATACAAGTTATTACAAATATTTAGCTGTAACTAGGGTATACAGTAAGCTAGTTCTTCTTTCAGCTAACACTTCTAACATAGCTGAAGGTATTGAAGTGCATTGTAAATGCTGTCATAAATTAGCTGTGCATTAATTTTAGCTGGAGCTGTGGGTTATCTGATCTCTTATTTCAGCTGTGGTGATTGAGATAATCTAATTCTTGATTTAAGTGTGGCTATGAGATACACTGCGGAATTAGCTTCGCCCTCTTAGCTGTGGTTAAGAGTTAATGTAGCTATTGTCTTTAGCTGAGATGTCGATAAAGCTCAATTTAAAACCTTAGCTGTGGTAATAGACCAGATATATATCACTGTAGAGAATGGGTTACATGAAAGTTTTTTCTTCTTAGCTGTGGTGGTGAGCTAAGCGTTAAGGGTGGGCGGGAGGGTCGGGTTACTACCGTCCACACAAGTGTTACTCACTACAAAATGTATGACAAGCCTGAATATCATAACAGGATCAATATACCAACACGTCGCTCCTCCTCCTCCGTCTCCTTCTCTGAGCTGGGCACGAGAAGGATGGTATGACGCCGAGACGAAATACGGAATGCGAGTATCACGCTGAGACGAGATAGAGAGTGAATATATCACACAAAATAGATAGGGAGTGAATATATCACGCCAAAAGAAATAGGGATTAGTGGAGGCGATATAGGGAGGGAGATATCATGCTGAGACGAGATAGAGAAAAAAGATATCATGGCAAGACGAGATAGGGAGTGGAGTTACCACGCCAGAAATGATACGGAGTAGCGATATCACGCCAGGAGAGATAATAAGTGGAAAATCACGCCCAGATGAGATTGGGAGTGAAGATTTTATGCCAGAAGCGATATTGTACTCTAAACTATTTGATTAAGAAATACGAATCGATGTTTTTATTGTTCATTCTTAAAACAAAAGAGTATTGAACAGAAGTGAAAGTTTTCTTGTGGAAATAAACGAACTTTTAATAAAACTGCAATCTTACCTGAAAAAAAGAAGAAAAAAAAACAGACTTGGTAATTCTCGAAGCGCAATTTATTATGTATAACCAAAGCTGAACTGATTCTCCCTCTCCTTCGTTGTCGACAGTGTGTGTGTGTGTGTGTGTGTGTGGGGGGGTTATATATGTCTGAACCTAAAGAAGAGAGGAGATCCGGGGTACGTACTGGTAACATTGACTGGAGAAAGAAGGAACAAACATACATAAAGGGATATAGAGAGACAGATATATAGAATGGCATAGACAGACCGACAGATTGACAGACAGAAAGACAGATCAACAAGTAGACACAGAAAACTATGTCACCACGTTAATCAATACCTCTTGACACATACAAGTTTAAGGAGAGGAAGAGACATCTCACACACACACACACACACACACACACACACACACACACACACACACACACACACACACACACACACACACCTCTTTCTTCCCTCTCTTAGTTAACGAGTATCTTCACATTTCATTCACCAGATGTCGCTTCTAAATGTACACAAGTATACAGGCAGTAAGAACGAGTGATTAAAGTACACAGACTGAAGGAATACACTCGTAAAATGTCATGAGAGTGTGAGTTATTTATTAGTTTAATGTGATGTTTTGAATACGAATGAGAGCATTTTGCAACTCTGTGACCACGACCGGGATTTAATTGGTCACTTAAGTACTGT